TATACCCCTTTATTTTAATCAGTTCTACTGTGCAAAGGTAAAGTTATTCCCATTTTTTACGTTTGCCTTTGAAAAACTGAAATAGTGACTGTGGGAACTGAATATTTTCAAAAGGAATGAGAAAAACACTGATTGCAAGACCTCCTGAGTAACAATCTTTGGTTAGTTTTTCGAAGACCAGAACATCTGATGGTTTTCAGATTACAACAAAATGTGGGCAGTGAACTTGCTAATCTTATTTTTTAAACAAAAGAGAAATATGGCTGGCAGAATGGCTCAAATGGTAGACTATCTGCCTAGCAAACATGAGGCCCTGAGTTCAAGCCACAGTTCTTTGAGTTCAACTTAGTTCCAGTGCTGTTATAATATAAAGAAGCCCAAGAGTTGGGGGAAATATAAGGAAGGGTGCAGAAGGGTGAATGTGGTGGAAATATGTACTCATGTATGAAAATGAAAAAACAAAACCTGTTGAAACCATTCTAGGAATGGGGGGGAAATAAAGGAAAATGATGGAGGGGGGAGAATTCAACTATGATATATTGTAAGAACTTTTATAAATGTCACAATGTGCCCCCATACAATAATAATATGATAATAAAAATTACTTATTTATTTTGACAGCACTGGGATTTGAACCCAAGGCCTGAAAATAAAATTTAAAAAAAAATCACCAGCATAAACAGACAATCCACAGAATAGGAGAAAATATTTTCAATTTATTCACTGGACAAAGAATTAATGTACTATATATAAATACATACACACACACACACATATATATGTCAGGAGCTCAAGGAATAAATTAAAAAGATCAAATAATTCAATTTATAAATGACAGTTCTCCAACAAAAAAGTACAAATGGCAAAAAAAATGAAGAAATGTTTAACATCCTTAACCATATAGGAAATGCAAATCAAAACAACACTGAGATTCCTTCTCACTCCAGTCTTTGTGTGTATGTGTGTGTGTGTGTGTGTGTGTGTGTGTGGCATTGGGGTTTGTGCTTATAAGGCAGACACTATACTACTTGAGCTATACTTAGAGTCCTCACTCCAGTCTTAATGGCTATTACCAAGGAAACCAACAACAAAAAATGATGGTAAGTATATACAGAATGAAATATTATTCAGTCTTAAAGAAGAATGAAATTTTGTGTGCAAGTAAATTGATGGAACTGGAGGACATCATGTTAAGTGAAGCAAGCCAGGTTCAAAAAGAAATAGGTGTTCCCCAAATAATAACTGAGTGACTACTGTATGCATGACCTATGAACACCAAGTGACATTGTGGCTGTTACCCTCCATTCCCATTTCACACATTAGGAAACTGAGGCTCAGAGAGAGCTGGGGGCTCACACATAGTAATGTCACATGGAGATTCTCTTGACACTTGAAACACACTCAGGCCACTCATCCAATCCAGCCTTCAGCTGGCTCAGTTCCTGGTAAATCCTCTCCTTTTCCTGGGGGCTCAAATCAAGTCCTTGGAGCCAGAGTCAAGAAAAACAGAAACTAAGAGTATTAAAATTATGGAACATACCACATCTTTTTCTACATCCTTAGGGATATTATTTCCAGCAGCCACAGACTCCTTTAACCTTATTTAAAGAAGAAAAAATCTGACACCCAGCGAAGACTGAACCACAGATCAAGTACAGCCAGGATCTTCCTCTCCCCTGTAGCAGAGGTGGGAGAAGCCAAGGAAACCCCCAGAAGTCATGAAAAGACCAATCCTAGCTTTAGCCCACCTTCCTCCTTGACCTGGCTGCCCAGCTGATTTACCCGATCAGGAACATCAACCCTTAAGGCTTCTCTGACCTCAAAAAGGATGACCATCAGAAGCCTAGCCAAGAGTGTGATGGAGAACAGCTGCAGCATCACGAGGATGTGGCCCAGACTCCCAGTGGGAGAGAAGGTCAGGATTCCAGTGAGACAGTGTCCCTACCGTGTGTGGCCCAAGACAGCCTGAACACCAGTTTTTTCCTCCCAAAGGCACAAGACTCAATTCTCAGATCTCGCTTTCCAGTGTCTATAAGTTCAGGTTCAGTCTCTATGTCTAAGCTTTCACCAACCAGGACCCAAGAGGCCAAGCCCCAAACTCCAGGTGTCAGTCTTCACATCTGAGGACCCAGGAGTGCAGAATCCCAAACTCCATCTGCCAATGAACTCATTAACAGAATCCCAAACTCAACCTCCCCTGGACCCAAGTGTCCAGTGACCAAACATCCACTTCCCTGTACCCAAGAGTCCTGCAGAATCTTCCACTTCTCCCTAGCTCCTGGCCCTTATCTATCTACAGAGCCATTGAATAAAGAATTCTGAGGGCTGGCAGAGTGGCTCAAGTGGTAGAGTGCCTGCCATGCAAGTGTGAGGCCCTGAGTTCAAACCCCAGTACTACCAAAAAAAATTTTTTGCCTGAATCCAGAGGGTTTTTTTTTTTTTTTTGCAGTACTGGGGCTTGAACTTAGGGCTTACACCTTGAGCCACTCCACCAGCCCTTTTTTGTGAAGGGTTTTTTGAGTTAGGGTCTCACAGAACTATTTGCCCAGACTGGCTTTGAACTGCGATCCTCCTGATCTCTGTCTCCTGAGTAGCTAGGATTGCGTGCATGAATCACTGGTGCCCAGTTGAATCCAGAGTTTTTAATGGAATATCTGGTGCCACTGGTCATCAGCTGCTCCTCTGACTTGGCAGAACATCATTCAGAGCTGGGAGATCAATGACAAAGGGTGGCCCCAGCAGTGCTCCCCAGAATCCCAGCCTAGCCTCACAGCTGCTGTGTCCACACTTCTTGGAGTTACTCATGGTCACCACTGTACCTCAGTGTCCAGGACTGCTGGGGACCACAGCTTTTGTTGCCACATCCTGTTCCTCACCCCCTTAACATACTCTCACTCAGAGAAAGATACAGGAAGTGGATAGGAGCACCAGATGAGGCAAGAGGGAAGGCTGGGTGTCAGACACAGCAAGGGACATGCCAGGTGTTCTAGGAATTTCAGGAAGGGGTACAAAATTTTGGGGTCCATAGCAGAGCAAACTGTTCTACTCATGGTATGACCAAGCTTTGGGTGCGTTGAACAACACCGGTAACTTATCAAATATCTTTTCTGTTATTTCTCAACTTACACTAGCAATGGTAGCAGTCTGATTCAGTTTCACTGCCTTGGTTTGCTGATGTCTTCACTCTTGGTGGTTTCCTGCTTATAGTTATTTCATGTCTGCTACTATTGGGTACATTTCAAGCTGCTTTGTATACTTGTTAGCTTTGTCTCCTCACTCAGTACGTGAGGATCCGCTATTCTTTTTCACTTGTGAGAAATTGAGGCACAGCAAGGTTAGGTCACATAGTCACACAGATGGATAGTGAGATTCTAAACCTAGAGAGTCTGCATACACAGTCCACACCATGAATCAAGGAGACACAAATACCCTCAAGGAGGAAACAAACATCTCCTAGGTGCTTTATTCAACTTGTCAAAAATTGGGAAAGTCCAAGTGTCTACCAAAGGTGAATCAAAAAAGTAATACATACACCAAGTAGAATAGAATAGTATACCACAATGAAAAAGCAAACTACTATCTGAGCAACAGCGTGCATGAATCTCCACAAAAGTGAAAACATTCAGTCCTAAAGTTCACAGACGATAAGATTTTATTTATTTACATTTCAAGAACAGATAAGACCAATTGTGTTTTCTTTAAAGGGGAGAGTAAGGATTGACACACTCTTTGATGCAAGAAAGTCTTTTATGAGCTGTTAGTGCTATATATTTGACTTGAACAGTAGCGTCAGGGGGGCTTCATAGGGAAACTGCACATATAAACTTGTGCCTTGTATTGCCTGTGGGTGTATCTCAATTTAAAATTGGAAAATAACTCCCAGCACTTCAAACAAACAGGATAAGCAACTGCAACCAGGGAAAGCGCACAGACAAAGGGGTGTATGGTAGGTGGAGGGTGAGCAAATGGAAGGCAGGCATGCTGGGAAGGATGGAGCCCAAGGGAGAGGGCAGCAGATCAAAAATACAAATCTTCTGCTTCAGCACAGAAGACAGGGCAGACTGAAGGAGCAGCCCAGCCCTGAAGTTATCCCTCACCTGCACACTGTATTAAACTGTCACAGAGCTGCTACTTGGAAGTGTCCTTGTCAGAGTTACTTTCATTTTTTCCTTCATTAGTCCTTCAGCAAGTGTTTTCCCTTCCCTAGTCCTTCTTCAAACATGAAGTGCCCTCCATTTTCCCCAGCTTATAAATACTTAAGAAAACACCTTGCAAATAGTTAAATTGTTACTATTAATCTTTCTTTAGATTTATAGGACTCAGAACATCTGGTGACCTGGTAATGCCCCTTATTGGCCTTTATGTGTATGCATCAACTAACATAGAGCATGAAAATTGAGCAGAAAAAGGAATATGTGTTTAAAGAAAATTCAGGAACTACCCCCAGGAGGCAAGTTCTATTGCAATGTCACAGCCAGAGAAAAGAGAAGAAACACGCCATTGATGAGAAGGACCCGGGCAGCATGCAGCCATCCTACCCATCGTCCCAGTGCACCTCTTTTCCCTCCCTATAAAAATCCATTGCGTCCCTCAGTTCCCCCAAGGTGTAGGTTTGAGGATGACAGCACACTCCCTCTTGTGAGGAGCTAGCCTATGAATAAACCTGATTCCATCCTGCCAACTATTGCTTCCTGAATAGTGACTTTTGACAGGCGACCATACCAGACGTTAGTCCAGTTTTTAAAAAAAAGCAAGAAAAGAAATTTCAAATAGGGCCAAAACCACAACCACAAACTCAAAGGGAATGTGAGGCAAAAAATAGGAAGGACAGCAGTGTCCCAGATCCATAGGGGATAAGGAATGTGACAGAGAAACAACCCAGATCTATTGTTAAGATGGCAATGCTAACAGAAAGTGAGAAGGATCTGGCTTGAAAGTGGGTAAATTTCTTCACCTACGCAGGCAGGCTGTGCTGCAGGCACTATGGAGAGGTACAGACTTCACTTCGTGGAGCAGGAGGCCGCGGACTTCTTGCAGACCCAGCATTTCACAACTGTACAACAAACATCATTCCACCCATCTTCTTTAAATTCCACACAGTCTCTACTCCTATAATTGTTGGGCTGTCCTTTACCCCAATACTTCTTGAAGCTTCAAAGGCCATTCAGACTGTGAGCTTCAACCCTTGGCTACATGTTTCAACCACATTTCTACTCCTGGAAACTTGATGCTTTAACATCTAGACTCAGTGACATGTTTGAGTCATTTGCCCCTGACTCCTGGCCCTTATTATCACCTCTGCTTGAGAGGATACAGCACACCCTCCTGCTGAGGGTGTAGACTTCAATTAAAGCTAACCAATCCAGAATCTACACCTTCAACCTCCTTCTTACTGGGCTATTGTATCTCTCAAGGGCCAGGTAAGAGACAACTAATCACAGCATCGATGCCACAGAACCCAGTGACATTTCAACTTGGGCAATCCTAAGCCTACCTCACCTGTCTCTCTTATCCCTTATCATGGATACCACAATAAGGGCTCTCCCACACAGCTCCTCCACCCTCTGCTTCCTGACAGGGTCAGGTCCTTTCCTCATGGCATGACGTGTGCCCCATCACTTGAGATCTGTGATTATAACAGGCTGTATTGTCACTAATAATAGTCCCCTGAGCTGTTGGTCTTACTATCCCTCAGAGAAAGTATTAATACACTATATTTAAATTTTCCACCCTCTCTCCAAATTCCTCCTGCAGTTCTGATGGGGAAATTTGTGTGCTTGCCATCCCATCAGCACATGGGTATAAAAACCTCCTTCCTCCACTGAGTGACTGTCACATCCCTAAGCTTATGGCCATGGCAGTGGAGGAGAACTGCACTGCACCTCAAGTCAAAGCTTTAGGAGTCCCATCCCACTCTATAGGGCATTCCTTCTCCCAAGATCTACCTTTTTGACAGAGATGATCCCATCTACCCACAGCCACTTTCCTTCAATTTTCTGATCTGAGAGTCCTATCCAGTGGTAGCCTTCCTTCTTAGAAGTGTGATTGAGGAAATTCTGGAGGGGAGGAGAAAGCTCTGCCCCTTGTTTTACAAACAGTGTCCTCCCAAACTCTTGGCAGGAAGTTATGCTTGCAGTCTGATCTCGAGCCATCTAGTGTACCAGGCCATGAACACTGCCCTGTGCTCAGGAGCTCTGTCCTCTCACACCAGTAGCTCTGCTGTTGGGTGTGCAATCAGCAAAGGTGGCAAAAATTTATACCAGGGTAATTATTCAAAGGAACACAGCAGGACTTTTTAATCCCAATAGAAGAAGTTGATAAGCATTATCTAAGAAACCAAAAGATGTCACTTACACATTAGGTGCTCCCAAAAACATCCACCATGTTCAGACTTTGTGTGTTATCTCTGTGCAAGGTGCTTAGGGCCCCTCATTGCTACCCTCTTTCCCTTCACTTTCCCACCTGACCAAGAAGTTCCTTATCCAGAAAATTCTGCCTGACCAACCATCTCCTCCCAAAAGGCCAGTGGTCAGATGCATTACCCAGACCAGAATAGGGATCACAACCAGAAATACCTGATCCTCGTGACTTTTGATGACTACTAATTGGCCTCCCATTTCCTGGCAGGCAGTGACAGAATCAGTCCAGTTCTTTGTATACATGGAGAAAAAGTAACAATTTTCTTGGAAGAACATCCAGTCACAGGGCCATGGATGGCATAGGTGGTCTGTTGGGGAAGGTGACTCAGGCTGAACCAATACTTGAATATCCATGATTTGTGACTGCCCAGTCCTGAATCCCTCCACTTTCAGTGCCCTCTGTAGATACAACACACTGTGAAGCCACTCTCCTCTTCACCTCATGAACCACTTCCCTATCTCATGAGTACTTTGGAGTCCAGGCTACCTCTTCCAGAATGAGAAAAGTGGGGTCTACAGAGCTCAGAATGATGGCCAAGGGACTGGCTGAACTGAATGCCTATAGTATGAACTGTCCCTTGTGGCCATGAAGTATTCCTAGATTTTACCCATTTCACAGATGAGGAAACTGACATTCAGATAAAGATGGTGAATCAAGGATAATGACCACACATGGAAATCCTCTCAGGTCCTTACAGACCCACTTTCAAGTCACTCACCTACACCAGCATTCAGCTCAGTCAGCTCCTGATAGATCTTCTTCAGTTCCTGTTCTTGTTCCTGGAAACTGGGGGTGTCATGGTCTGTGGAAAAAAAGAACTACAAATAATAATCAACTACTGTGTATCCTAGTATGCACTAGACCTCTAGGGACATTATCTCTGAAATCCAGTGTCTTATATAACAAAATTCGAAGATAAAGAAGTCTGAACATGGTTAAGTCTAAACCACAAGGTCAAGTGGAATCAGTACCCTTTCCTTTATCTCTACCCTACAACAGAGTAGGAGGGACCTCGATAAGACTCTAGAAGACACTAAAGGACCCAATCCTGGATTTTAGTTCCACCACCCTCTCCCAGTAAAAGGTTAGAATAGCCAGTCTTTTCTGACCTTTATAAAGGATGGCTATCAGGAGAACAGCCAGGAGTATGATGGAGATCATAGGCAGAGTCAGGAGGCCCTGGCCATGGCCCCAACAGCCTGAGGAGAGAATATTGAGTGTTCTGCACACCAGTGTCCCTGCAGGAGCCCAGTCCAGGGACAGCCTGGCACCATCCTCCTCCTCTTAAAGATACAGTATTCCAGACCCTCAGGATCCATGTTCCCAGGGCCCAAATTTCCCCATCCCAACCTCCAACTCTTGAAGTTCCAGGATTCCAGGTTTTCAGCCTCAATCACCCAGGACCCATAGCATAATCCCCTAGCTTCACCTTCCGAGGACACAATACTCCAGACCTTCAGCCTCAGTGAATCCATAAACCAGGATCCTATCTCCAGACATTACTACCTAAGACCAGGAGTCCAGTCCCAACTTCCGCCTCTGTGGAACCCATAATCTCATCCCCAGACTCTTACCCTGGAACCAGAAATTCAGTCACCCAGACTCAACCTCCTAAGCACCCAGGAGTCCAGTCCTCACCCTTCCCCACTCCACTATCCAGGAGACCAATCTCCAGGGTCCAACTCTCAAGGACCCAGGATTCCAGCCTCTTTTCCTCCATCTCCCCAAGAAGTACAGCACCACATCCTCAAACTCTGTAACACCCAGGAGTCCAGATTTCCACCCTCCACCTCCCCAGGACAGTAATCTGAGAACGTCTATCCTCTGCACATTCCCTAACTCTGGTCTACCTGCAACACTCTCGAGTCCTTAAGTAGGTGGGAGTTCAAAGCCTCTTAGGTAATATCAGGTACCACCGGTTATCAGCTCCCACTCTGGATGGGCTGAGCATCAGTTCTCTGATTATGCAGGCTAAAACCAGAGTTGGACTCCCTGAACCTCCAATCCAAACTCCTGATTCCCAGCCTGGCTTCACCCAGGGGGCCAGCTGCTGCTCCTGGACTTCTCCGGAATAGCTCATGGCCAGTGCTGTCTTTCAATACCAAGGTCTCTCATGGATCACAGCTTTTATTTGCTACCTCCTGTTCCTCATTCCCTGAATGCACTCTCACTCAGAAAGAGAAAAAGGCTAGTGGGTACCAGCACCAGAACAGGCCAGAGGGAGGGATCTGAGTGTCAGATACATGATGGCACATGCAAGATGTTCCAGGAATTTCAGGGAGAGGTTGTAAGGGTTGTGGAGTTTCCATGGGTGTTATTTCCAATTTGTGGGATGCTCTTAATGAAACTAGTTACTTGTGAAGTAAAGCTACTTGGTTATGTCTCTTCACCTATGGTGGGGTTGGTTTAGCAATTGTTCAGTGTTCCCAAAACACTGTTCCCTCTGTCTGCAAGCTTTACTTCATTGGTTGCCAATGTCCTCACTCCTGGTGATTTCTGCTGGTTGGCACTCAACACAAATCACCATTGCTAATACTTATTGAATTAAACATGTTCTCATCAGGCATGTTTCCAGGTGCTTATATACTCATTAGTTCAATCTCCCCCAGACTGGGTAGATGGATCTCCTGTGCATTTTTCAGTGGTGAGAAACTGTCCTATAGTCACAAAGATGGATAATTGTGGAGTGGGGATCATGATCCCAGAGCTTCCACAGTCCACAATTTATGACCTAAAGGAATCCAAATAATCTGAAGGGAAAATAAACAAAATGTCTGCTACCTGCTTTATTCAGATTGACCCAAATTGGAAAAGTTGAACTGGCCTCCAGCAAGTGAATGAGAAAAAGAAAGTAGTTGTTCACAGAATGGAGTACATTCTTTGTATTCACATTACAGCAATGAAAATCCAATATACTGATCCAAACAACCTGCAGGAATTCCCAAAGAGTGAAGTACCCAAATATTAGGAAGAGATATGGTGAGATTCTGTGCTTTATGGATGCCAAGAACAGGGAGAAATAGTCTTTGATTGGAGTTCAAATGAGGGTTGTTCCAAACAGGTGGATGTATATTTAACAAGAAGGGGAATACAGAAGTCTTCTATGATATGCAGAGGTTCTATATTTTGATTTGACAGGTGGGGAAAATGTGTATTACTACATAAAAGTACATGAGTTGGGGAAATATAAGACTTGTGCAATGAATGGTATGGTGTTTTATATCACAGTTTAAAAATGAAAAATATAGATGATAGCAAATTATATCCAACCATCATTTTCACTCCATGAAGACTTCAACTCGGGAAACAAAGGAACAGATTGTATTCTGAAGCTACAAAGTATGAAAGCAATCATGAAAGAGTGGCAGAACAGCAGAATAACATGGAGAAACTGAGACAATGAGGAAAACAAGTAAACAGTTCTAAGTTCCATGCCTGGCCTCCCATGAGGGGGAGGGGAACCTGAAGATGCATTCATATGAACCTGGTGACAGATGGGCAATTCTAGCCGTATGATATGCCCAACTTCCCTTAAGATTTCCTAAAGCCTAGTGTGGGGATTAGGGGAAACAATGATTGTTCTACGTGTGGAAGCTAGCCTTGGTAAAGAAAGACATTCTAGTCATCCACTTAATTTGTGGAGTTTTATCAAGTAACCATCTTGAGCAAGAGCCTATTGTTTCAGATTGAGACACTTTGGGATCTTGAAAATACAGAACAATCATAGCTCAGGGAATCCACAACAGTCTGCCAAATTGTCTGAGTGGAAGAATTCTATGAAAGGTGGGTGTGGAGAGAGAGAGGTTCTAACAGAGCCCCACAGGCAACTTCAATCAACAGAGAGTTCCAGCAGTGAAGGGCATGATGTCAGAGGAGCCACCATCCCTGGTGAGGGTCAAGATCCATCAACCGAGGCTTGTGGCAGAAACAAAGCACCAAACTGTGGCTGTGGTAGTATTCAGCCTGCAGTGCCTGCCACACTGCTGCATGTGTTTATTGTGAGAATGGTCAGAGCCCTGTGCCCAGACCTTCCAAATTACATGATACCCACAGCCTGGAATGATGTACTTCAAGTCCTAAAAGAATATAAGAAACCTCCAAACTAGGTTACTGTGTCCAGCAAAGGTATCATGCACAACTGAAGAAGAAATAAAAACATTCCATGATAAATAAAAACTAAAGAAATTCATGACAACCAAACCTGCAGGATGGAAGATACTCAAAAGAATCCTACACTGGGAAGAGGAAGTTAAGCACAACCATGAAAATACAACATAGAAGAAAACTCACGTGGGTGGTAAGGGAGGGGGTGGGGGCAAGGGGGAGAAATGACCTAAGCCTTGTGTGCACATATGAATAATAAAATAAAATAAAAGAAGAAGAAAACTCACTAGATTAGTAGATAAACAAATGAAAAGTAAGAGAGAATAAAGCACTTTGAAACCCATAAGACAGCAGAACTTAATGCACACCTTTGAATAATAACACTGAATCTTAATAGTCTCAATCTCTAATCTAAAAACACAGACTGGCAAATTGGATGAAAGAACAGGACCTGACCATTTCTTGCCTACAAGAAATATACATCACTTGCAAAAGACAAACATAGGCTTAGAGTAAATGAATGGAAAATGATTTTCCATGCAAAAATAGTACAAAGGCCAGCAGGAGTAGCTATACTCATATCTGATAAAGCAGACTTCAAACCATAATTAGTAAGAAGGGCAAACAAGGTCACTTTATACTAATACAGGGAATCATCCAGCAGGAGGAGATATCAACTGTAAAGATACATGCACAGAACTTTGACACATCCAATTTCATAAAGCAAACATGACTGGACCTAATAACACAGAAAGATCCTAACTCAATAATACTAGATGACCTTAATACCCCACTCTGACCAATAGTCAGTTCATCCAGACAAAAAGCAAGTAAACTTCAATATAAAGAACTATAGGTCAAATGGAATTATAGACATCAACAGAATTCATGTTCTTCTCAGCAGTTCATGGAAATTTCTCCAAAATACATCATATCCAGACAAAAAGTATATGCCCAAGTACAAGAAAATTGCAATAATGTCCAGTATTTTTTCAGACCACAATAGAATAAAACTAAAATCAGTAGCAAGAGAAACTACACAAGACATCCAAACACATGCAAACTGAACCATTCTCTCTTGAACAATCAGTGGGTTATCAAACAAATAAAAGGAGAAGTGAAAATTATCCCCATACTTAAAACAAAATGAAAATACAACTTTCTGGAACCTTTAGGACACAGAAAAGACAGTAATAAAAGGTAAGTTTACAGCTATGAGTGCCTTAACTAAAAGATCAATAAGATCCCAAATAAATGAATTCAAAATGCACATCAAGCTGCAGAAAAACATGAATAAGCCAAACTCAAAAAAGTACATGGAAAAAAATCACAACTTCAGGACAGAAATTAACAAAGCGAAGTCTAAAAGAGAAAAACAGAATGAATTAAACAAAATGTTGGTTCTTTGAAAAGATAAACAAAATTGACAAACTCTTAGCCAAACTAACCAAACAGAAGAGGAAGAAAAACAAAATGATGAATTTGGAAATGAGAAAGGGGATATCACAACAAAAGCCAATGAAATTGAGAGGATCATTAAGGAATTTATAGAAAATGTATATTCTAATAAACTAGAAAATCTAGAAGAAATGAATTAATTTCTAGATGCATATGACCTACCAAAGATGAAGCAAAATATAAAACCCCTAAAAAGATCTATAACAAGAATTGAAATTGAAGCAGTAATGAAGAGACTCCTCATTAAAAAAAAATTCCAGAGCCAGATGAATTCACTGCTGGATTCTCTCAGATCTATACAGAAGAACACCAATGCTCCTCAAACTGTCCCTTAACATAGAAAGGAAAGGAATGCTACCAAACTAATTCAAGAAGCCAGTGTTACCCTGAGTCCAAAACCTGATAAGGACACAACATAAAAGAAAATTACCGATAAATTTCCTTGACAAACATAAACACAAAAATTATCAATGAAATACTTGCAAGTCAATTATGATGCCATATTAAGAAGATCACATGTCATGATCATGTTGGCTTCATTTCTGGGATAGAAGTATGGTTCAACATATACAAATCAATAAATGTAACACTGAGAGTTGAACTGACCAAAGTTAAGCATACTCACAGCTAGGGATACATTGAGAAATCTCTTTGAACTTTGACTGTGGCGTGAAAAAATGAAAGACAGTAGTATAAAAGAGGTACATTGGGGGTGACATACTTATGAGGGCGAGGTAGAGCAAAGGAGATAAAGGGAGGGAATATGGTTGCTAGCATCATATACATACATGGAACGAGTGATGAAACTTCTTGAAATTGCTTTAAGCAGCAAAAGAAAGAAATAAAAGGGATACAAATAGGACAGGAAGAAGTCAAAATATCCTTACTTACAAATCCTATACTTCAAAAGTCTAATGGCTAGACCAAAAAAATCTTGGATCTGCTAAACACTTTCAGCACAGTAGCAAGATAAAAAATCAACATACAAAAATCTACTTTTGTTAGATACTAATAATGAACAGGCTGAGAAATGAATCAGGAAAACAATCTCATTCACAATAGACTCAAAAAATTAAATACCTAGGAAGAAACCTAACAAAAGGGATCAATGACCTATACAATGAAAACCATAAAACCATGAAGAAAGAAATTGAAGGA